CTCCCTTCCATAGAAGCACATGTAGACAGTAGCCTGACATAATACGTTATCTCCTACCAATTCTGTTAAATGGCGATTTGTTAATATCCCCTTCGAGAAACCATGATATTTGCAGTTATCCAGTTTGGCAACACGTTATTGTCAACAAACATGCGCAGAAATCGCATGTGTGAATAACTTCAGGGCTCACGAAGGGAACACACTGCCCATCGTCGGGCCGATCGGAGCGCATCGCGCCCAAACAAACTGTCGCTACAGGCAGACATGCAAGTCGCGGGAAGTAAATGAGAAGAAGAAGAAGATTCGATCGCCAGGACAACACTTTTGTTTGCCTGAAGTTTCGGTATCCATCGCGGATTTTTCATCAGAAACATCAGCAGAAAACAGTAGCAGAAACTTCTGCTCACAGACGGAAGAGAGTAGGTCTGCTGTAACACTTGCTTGTATCGACAGACTCGCTATTTAACCCTTACCTTCTATGCAAGCAGTCTGCTTCAAATTTATTTCGCATATAGTGAATCATAAGGCGTGTAGACTTTTTCTGTCATAAAAACATATTTAATTCCTTTTCGATAAAACAAAGGCACCGCATATAGAAAACATTATGACCGTTAACAGGAGCACCTGATAAAATGGCTAACCCAAAGGAGGACTTTAGCGCTAACGATAGAACATAGGCAAATCGACAACGAAAACATTAATAATCGCCCCAAATGTCACCCCATTTTTGGCTAAATGCTTATTGCCACTAAAAATCAAGTTTTTATTTTACCACATTGAGGACATCAACATTACTTTAACTGAATATAAAAATCTTCACTTAAGAGGATGTTTTACGATATATATTGAATTTACCATAGATTTCTAAAACTTAGAACAACGAAAGGATAAAACTAGAGTTACTGATCCCCATGAGAGTATTAGAGAATAAACTTGAAACATCAAGATACCAGCTATGGAAAACTGGGACTATGAGGGAGGAAGACATACCTGGTGAATAATTTGAATACATTTTTCGTATTCAATGCGCTTTTGATTTTCGATGAGGAAATCTTTCAGCGATCCGTTTTCCATGTATTCCGTGATGAGGTAAAATGGCTCATCTGCAGGTCTGTTGCAGTAGCCCAGGAATCGAACTAGTCGCGGGTGGTTTAGAATGAACATGGTTTGTGCCTCGTTCACAAAGTCTTCTTTCGTTGCAGTTGGAAGACACGTCTTTACTGCAACGGTAACAGTCTGCATCTTAGCTAGCCAGACTTCTCCAAAGTTGCCACAGCCGAGTCGATCTGTTAGCTTTATGATGGATCGATCAATCGCGAACTCTTGAAAATTGAAAGGAGGTGGGACCACTTTTGGCCGAGGCATTAGTAGGCAGCCACTAATATCCAATGGAGTTGCTTAAATGGAAAGGAACATATATTACTCCTCAACTAATGTTAAGACATCAATTGATGGCACACACAAAATAAACAAACCCCGTTTGGATTTACAGTTAACTGGCGGAAATAAGGCAATTTCTCAAGCACAAGATGTAAATATCAAACTTTAGTTGGTAAATGTTTTGAATTTTCCCCACAGTATGTGTATTTTATTTAAACCTTAAAATGCTTGCACACTTTGTAAATCTATCTTCTGGTCTCAGTAAACGAAACCATTTTTGCTGAAAAGGTTGAGTGGAAGTTTCAAAATAAAGCGATTTTCCATCTCTTTAAATTGTAAATTAATCAGACTTTTTCTAAATTAGACTACATGCAGTTTAAAATTGAATATATAAATTTTCCAAACGTGCAACCATAATCTCCGATGAAAAGTGTACTCACTCATGTAGAAAATAAGCAGTTCGTCCAATGTGTCCGCTCTGAAGTTCGGACGAATATAAAACTTCCCTTCTGTCGGCGGAAAATTGACTTTGTAATGCTTAATATCACATCTGTCAGCATTCGAGTATTTGACCGACAATGCTAGGCAATAGTTAGCTAAAAATGTTAAAAAATATTTTCATTTATGGAAATTCATGCAAGATAAGCAAAAAAAGTGTGATGTATTTTGATTAAATAGTTCGTTAACTTTCAACAACAGTATAATTTGATAATAAGCCTACAACGCAATACTCATATTGAATACTAGGCGGTGCAACAACTGGATATATCCCGAAAATTAATTCACTGGGGGAATTTAAAAGACTGATTCCTGTTAGGTATTGTTTAATATCACATAGCATAGACGTTTCTGTTGAGTTATGTGACAATGTAAGAGCACAATCGTTCAATTCGTACTCGTTCTCGATAAATTCAGAGTTAAAAAGGGGAGAATAGTTTTATTAAGATCTAATTTAAAACAATCTTTTTGGACGCTTAGAATTTCAAATAGGTTATTCTAACTTTTTATAGAGTTGCGTTGTAAATAACCTTTAGACAACTGCTGGGCGTTAGAATATAATATCTTCTGTTTAGTACTACATATTTTATCGTAGTATTTTAGTAATTAGAAATAATGAGGGCGAAATAACTGTACCTGAGGATGGCCGAAGAATGAACATTCCATTCTCAACACCGGGAATAAAAAGTTTCCTCTCAGCTTCAGTTCGGTTTATGTTGTACCACGCTTTACATGCGACGGAATCACTCTCAGTTGCCATATAATTCATCGGTATATTTCCAGTCCTCAAAGTTCGGGGATTGAATGCGAGGGTCCAGCCTTGACCTTGATTGTCCTCTAACAGCAAAATATCTCCAGCTTTAAAGGACAAATCAGCCGGCTCAGGAGCGTTGAAATCATAAAGAGCCGTAACCATAACTTTGTAATTGTTTAAATTAGTTCCAAGAGGATCGACATAATTCGCTGTTGGTTGTGTCGTTGTTGGTTTTGAGAAGGTAGTGTTATCTTCTTTCAAGGGGGGATCTGCATGCACGACGTTTTTATTACACCAGTCACAAGACATGATGCCCATCGTTGTTCGAAAATTAAATTTCGTAAGCTGAAATATTTAGCGTAAAAAATAGGAACAGGCATAAGTAGTATTCATTAAAAAATTGAAAACTGTTCTGGATTCCGAGCATTAATAACATTAACTGTAATCCTCATTTGCACTCTTATGTCCGCAGAGCTGCGCAAAAGCCCATCAGCAAGAAGGGTATAAATATTCTCGTGTCATCGCATAATTATTAAGAAAGGGATTATAGTATTATTACTATTCATCTGTACTTCTGTTAAACATCATATTGCTGCATAATGTTATCATAAGCTGTTTACGTGCATGGTTATCCTTGTGGATTATTTTTGCATAATGATGGCAAAATGAAACCAATATCGTATTAGTATGTCATATAATCAATGTCTGTTCATTAAATTCAAATATTTAAGCAGCGAGTTTTGGTGCGACGTTTAGTAGGCATAATTTATGGGGATCGTCTCTTTGATTTCTTTGAAACTTTTGAATTCTGTGAAAGACTGCATATGCTTAAGGGACAAATTCTGCATTGTTATGCGAATTTCACATGAGTAATACATGAATCTCCATAACACCTCTGAAAGAGTGCAGTATTTAAAGTCTTCTAACGCTAAATGTTCACTGTCATAAAAGGGTGACCTTTAACGCAGACCCTGTGGGTTGAGTGAAGCACCGGTGACCTGAACACACATTAGTTTCTATTGGCACCGACTTGCGTACAATCTATGGAAACCCTTCCTAACGTTGCCTACACTTTTTTCGGAGAAGAATCTAAGTTACCAGTCACACTGCACGCGCCGCCCATGACGTCTCGCAACTGCTTGATGGTCATTGTCCTTATGACCATGAGAAAGACATTTACGTGCTGTACAGAGAGCTGGTTAAATGTGGTGTGCT